CCAACACATTCAAGCCATTCGGGGCAACCAATTTTCGAGCTACCCAGTAGAACTCTAAATAAAAAAACTGGCCTTGTTTGGGAAGAAGGTTGGGCTAAGCTAAAATAATCAATAAGACAAAATATTACATCCAATTTATAATAGTTTATTTTTTCTCTCACAATTATCAAACCAATTACAAAAAAAGCCAACCAATTTTCCAAATATTACTTTTTTAGTCAGGCTAAAATTAGGTATTTTAGTAGTTGACTATTTTAGCTTGGCTAAAATAGTTATGTTTGGAAAGATGATTGATTTTTTTATAATTGGATATGATATTTGTGAGAAAAAATGAAATAATTATGAATTTGATATAATATTTTATTTTATTAACTATTTTAACCTATTTTATCTTTTAAAACTATTTTAACCACACAAAAAAAAAATCATCCCAAACACCCCTAAAATAGCCAACTTCCTAACCAAAGCCACTATAAGCGCACCCAAACAGGATAGCTAGATTCCGATTTGGCATCTGCATAAGTAGCATGGAGAGAGATGCCCGAAGAGAAGCAACCATATCTACTAAAATTTTTCTTTCATTTTATTCCCACCCACCTTATACATACATATCTCATCAACCCTAGTTTATCGATAGTTTGATAGTTTTTAGAGAGAGAAAGTGGGTTTACTTCAATTTTTTGGTGGATTTAGTAGTTTTTAGAGAGAGAAAGTAAAGGAAGAAAAAGAGGAAGTTGAAGAGAAAGGAAGTTCTGGTTTTTTCATTTCTTTCTTTTTTATGAGATTCAACACTGCTGTCACAACCCAAATCCGCCCCCATAGACTTAGCGTCATAACCGGCCAGTAATCCTAGGATTACCAAAGGCCTCTGACCTGAAAATCATATAAAAGAGGGACTGCGGAAGCAAATATACAAAATACAACGTCTATTGAGCTGTGTAGACATACATGAGACAAATAATAGTAAAACTTATATATAGACATATGACGCCAAAAATACACAAGTCATGCACCACCATACAGATATTATCAAAAAGGACTTAGCCTAGTGTACGGATAAATAAAAACAAAACAAAAACATCCTTAACATGATTCACAAAACTTGACTTCTTCAAACGGGAACCTCCCCGGGAGGCACGGTGATTGGTTGACCCAAACTCTCCATGCAGCAGTTTAGGCTTGGTCACGCGCCTACTCACCTACATACATAATATAAATAGTGAGCGAAAGCCTAGTGAATAATAACAGAATAAAGGGTTTAATGAACGATGTCCCATATCATATTCAAAAAGCAAAAATAGATTCATATTCTTATTAAAAGTTCATAAGCATGTACTTATTCAATTTCACAGAAGATCATACGTGGTATACCTATTAGCGCTAATAGATCAGATACAGAGCATTAAGGGTCACACTTGACCAGTTCCATAAAGGAACCTCCGGTACCGGGAACAGATAACATACTTAAGCCACGATATTGTTACCCCTAGGCGAAGGCCATAAGACCACTGTATTATTACCCCCAGGCAACGGCCTTGTGCTCATAGACCACAGTGTTGTTACCCTAGGGCAAGGGCCTTGTGCTACGGATGCCACAAATACTTTTCAATACATGGACAATCATTCATTGATACAGAACATAGCATTTCAATAAACAAATCATTTCTTGTCATATCAGATAGGAAAATACTTAAACGTGAACATAGCTTTACAAAGTTATTACTCAAAGTTGACTCTAAAAGCAGACAGACAGAGCAGACAAATCAAATAGCTTATAGCGTGAGACCTATACAAACATAACAAATACACATATTGAAACACACACTTAGATAGTACTTAACTTATATCATTTCGTTCTTACTGTGTTTTAGTCCTGATCCTCATTATTATGTCTTAATCATGGCCTAAGAATGCCTAGAATGCAATGAGGATGCCAAAACATGATGTTCAACACTTGGTCAAATTTGTTGAAAACAAGGTCCTCGCTCGAGCGTAGCTTCCTTTGCTCAAGCGGAGGGTTAAAAATAAGGGTGGTCACTCGAGTGCAACTTCCGTCGCTTGAGCAATCAATAACCTCTGCAAAAGTACTAGTTGCTTGATTTTTTCGCTCGATGCATGCTCGACGGTGGCTCGAGCGTAAGACTGAGGTTTTCGCTTAAGCGCAACTCTGTTCACTCGAGCGGTCTACAAAACTTATAAACTTCTGGGAGCATGCAGTTTACGCTTGAGCCAACTTTTGGTCGCTCAAGTGAAAGTGCCAAATAAAGAGTGGTCGCTCGAGTGTAGAAGTAGAATTCTGGAATTTTCAGATTTGCTTCCAAGCTTTAAAACTCGAATTCAAACCAACAAATCATGTTCTTTTGGGCCAAAAGCTTAAGGAAACATGTGTAAACTTGGAAAACATTGGGAATTCAAAATCATTTCGCAAAATCAAAGCCTAAAAGCATACCTATTGTTTAAAATCAAACTTGAAACTTGGAAACCACAACATGCATGCAATGGTATGAACTCCAACCTTCTAAAACATGATCAAATGACGTGAATTGATGGAAAACACGATAAATTCTCAAAACTAAGCTAGAATTGGGACATGCATATGAGAACTCTTAACAATTAAACTCAAAATGTAAGAAAATATGCATGTATGCATGGAATGTTCTTCCTTCTTACTTCATAAGCTCAATTCTTGCATTATTCCACTAAATTATTAGAATTCATGTCCTAGATATCATAATTATATTGTTTAAATGTTGAATCCTTACCTCTACTTCTCAACTATACTATAGGTGATGAATTCACTAAGATTCCAAGCCAAATCCTTGAATTCCCAAGCTAATTCCTTTGTTTAAACTCAATTCTCTCTTAGTCCCTCTCTCTACACGTTTGGAGTCTCAAAGATGGTAAATTGAGAATGTGAGTGATGCTTTACAATCAACTTAAGCCTTATATAGGCTTGGTTAGTGGTGATTAGTTAAAGCTAATCAAATAGACATTAATTATTATTCTAATTATTTCGTTTCGAATCGAATTTCAATTAAACCTACCATAAAATTCTAAAAATTTCAAATAACACATAGATCAAATCAATTTCATGATCGGATGTCAATAAGGCTTTCAATTCGCAAAACAAAATAGAAACACAAATAGATCTTTCTACGATAAACAGATAAAAACACAAATAATGCAACACACATGCAATTAATTCAAAATTTCATCCTAATTACTTATTAGGCATCCTTAATCATGGTTTAACTGTTAATCATAGGTTGGGGTTGTTACAATTGTAAAACCACTTCGGCGTCTTTCCATTCGGCCAGTGAATCCATCTCTGACGTCACCTCTTCCTCCTCTGTTGCTCCTTCTCCTCTCTTTTTGTCACTGTCACCTCTCTCATCTGTTTGTTAGAGTTTGGTTCTCAAACGTTTGAGAGAGAAAAGAAAAGGGAAAGGAAAAAGAAAAAAAATGGGGCGTTTCAAAATGATATCGTTTTGGCACCACTGCTAGAACCATTGCAGGGAATCACGGCAGAGGATGCGGACTCCATTGATGCCAACACATTCGAGCCATTCAAGGCAGCCAATTTTCTGCTAGCCAGCAAAACTCTAAGTAAAAAAAACTAGCCTTGATTGGGAATAAGGTTGGGTTAAGCTAAAATAATCAATATGACAAAATATCACATCAAATTTATAATTATTTTACATTTTTTCTCACAACTATCAAACCAATTACAAAAAAAAAGCTAATAAATTTTCCAAATACAACATTTTTAGTCAAACTAAAATTAGCTATTTTAGTAAGTTATTTTTGTAGTTGACTATTTTAGCTTGACTAAAATAATTATGATTAGAAAGATGATTGAATTTTGGAGTTTTTTTAAGTGTGCAAGTGCACACCATGTGCCACTTACACAAAAAGTGTAAGTGTAAGGTGTAAGTATAAGTATAAGGTGTAAGTGTAAGGTGTAAGTGGGTTGCACATGGTGTGCAACCTCAAAAAAGGTGTAAGTGTAAGGTTTAATTTTTTACAAAAGGTGTAAGTGTAAGGTGTAAGTGTAAGATATAAGGTGTAAGGTGTAAGTTGCACACCATAACCAAACCCTCGAATTTTTTATAATTAAATATGATATTTGTGGGGAAAAAAAATTATTGATATGATATTTTATTTGTTTTTTTAATTATTTTAACTTATTTTAATTCCAAAAAATAAAAATCATTCCAAACACGTCTAAAATAACCACCTTTCCAACCTTGTTTGGCAAGAAGAGTTTTAACATCTTTTAGGCTAAAATTCTCACACACACACACACACACACACACACACACACACACACACACAAACGACTAAAATAGCTAATAACACAAGATATTATATCAAATTTATAATCATTTCACTTTTTTTTTTCAAAAATATCACATTAAATTATAAAAAAATCCAATCATCTTCTCAAACATAAAGCCTGCGTTTGGTTGTATTTTGTAATTATGATTTGAGAGTATGAGTTCTTTTTTTGAGTTTATGGGATTTGGAATTATGATTTGAGTGTAGAAAATTTGTTTGGTAAAGAGTTTTGAAAATAGTTTTGAAAAGAGTTTTGATTTGAGTGGAGAATTATTGATGTGACATTTGATATTTAATATAAAAATTTACAACTCATAACTAAACATACAACTCAAAATTATTTTAAAGCACGTAAAAAATTTTAAAAATTTCAAAAAATATTTTTTTCGATTATATAAAATTAACATATCAATTGCAAAAAAAAAAAAAAAAAATCATTATTCCGGTCAACCGACCGGACATCCCGTCAAGCAAAATTTTCAAAAAAAAAATTCTGAGAAGTGCGGCTGAGAAAGTGGCTAAGACAGAACTCCCTGCAGAACTTTCGAAACGTAATTTTAAAATATTAAACAACCATCCTATTCAAATTCTGGTGTAAACAACTAGTGTGAAAACATAAACAAACATAACTCACTAAAATAACTAAAAACTAACATACTAACAGTTTCCAAACACGCACACTAAGCACACCCAAACAGGATAGCCAGAGTCCGATTTGGCTTTTGCATAAGCAGCGCGGAGAGAGACGCCCAGAGAGAAGCAGCCATATCTGCTAAAATTCTTCTTCCATTTCATTACCACCCACCTTATACATACATATCTCATCAACCCTAGTTTATCGATACATATATATATATACAGAGAGGGGGTGCAATACTTTGAGAGGGTTTCGCGCAAACCCTAGACCACCAAAAGAAGGAGAAGGCGGATCCTCTTCAGAGGGGACAAACCAAATCTAAGCGAAGATGAGGATTATGATAAAGGGTGGGGTGTGGAAGAACACCGAAGATGAGATCCTGAAGGCGGCTGTCATGAAGTATGGCAAGAATCAGTGGGCTCGAATCTCTTCCCTCCTCGTTCGCAAGTCCGCCAAGCAGTGCAAGGCTCGCTGGTACGAGTGGCTCGATCCTTCTATCAAAAAGGTATGTCTTTCTTCTCTTTCTTTCCCCAATTCCACTTGTGTTACTTGTTATCGATCTGTTTGTTTGGTTGCTCAGAAAATGGAAAATTAGTGAACGAAATATAGATTTAAATCTCATATTTGTGTGAGAAAAAAAAAAATACTTAATAGTATGCCATTAACATTGTTGCTGCTGGACCTTTTTGTTGATTATCACTTCTTGTTGTTTGTGTTAAATTTGTGGGTTTACTGTTCCAATTTTGTTGGCGTGCTGCTGGAAATTTGAAGATTTTGCTTATGTGATTGCAATAATGCTCTGCTTAGTGGTGTGTCATGTGTACGAGAGTAATGAGGAGTCCTTGGATCACTTGTTTTAGCAGTGCCATTTGGGTTCAATTGGAAGATATTTATTGGGTGATTCTGGCCTAAGAAGCACGGATATTTCTAAGGCAGTGGCTTGTTCGTGTGACGTGACACTCATCACACGCGTATTTTTAAATTTTGTAATTCAAACATGCTTTGAACATTTGGGGATATCTATGTCCATTGCTTAAATACATGAAACACATTAAAAGTTTGAATAAAATGACTGAAAAAGGATACTCTGATAAAACAAAAACAATCACTCTGTTTGGTTTTTGGTTTTTAAAAACAACTTTTGAGTTTTCAACTTGTATTTTTTGCATTTATTAAAATTTTAAAGATTTTTCACCAATATTTACTTTTTAAGTGTACTTAGATTAAGTGGATCTAAAAAGCTAAAAAAAATGATTAAAATATTAAAAAGATTCACTAAATACAAAAAAATAAAGATTGGAAACTCAAACTATTTTTGAAAACTATAAAACCAGAGTGAATATTCTTTGAACTTTGGGAATCAGTACTATGTTATATTTTAATTTTTAATTGCCTTTGAATGAAATATTCATAAATGACATAATAAATTCATGAAACTATATATTTTGTGTGTATATCACATGTAGTGTCTTGTATTTTTTGCAATTTTTTGTGTTGGCTTGTCCATGTTGCAACTGTGTCGTGTCATGTCATATGTTAGTGCTTCTTAGGTTCTGGCTTCTTGATCCCAAATGTTTTTCTTTGTTTTTTTTTTTGGGGAATGGTTACAAAAGCTTTGCGGACTTGTGCTAATTTTTTCCCCTTCACTTTTTGGGTTAGGCTGGACTGAAATGCAATGATTTTTTAGGATAAGTGTGTTTAGAGGATAAGTTTGAGGACATTGACTCTCTATGAGGATATAGTGGTATTTATTTATTATTCTTTTTGGGCTTTTGTTCTAATTTTTTTAGGGGTATTCCATTATTTGTGGTTTCTGGAGATTAGAGGGTGGTGTGTGATATGTAGTTTTGAATATGTTTTCTTTTGTATTTTTCCTTGGTGGGCTTCTGGTACTCCGGTCTTCTTGTCCTCTGTTTCTTTTGTAATTATATTTCTTTTGTTGCCGATCAAAAAATAAAGAACTGTATAATCAAAGAAAAGAAAGTGAAGTTTTATAACTACTATTTCAGTGTGTTGCATTAAATTACTAGTAGGCATTGTTGCACACTTGATGTGTGTGTGTGTGTGTGAGAGAGAGAGAGTGAGAGTGAGAGAGTACAAAACTGAATTAGTTTTGGGTTCATTAGGTATTGTGTTTGTGTAAGGTTCAGCTTTTGCCCTTTGAGTTATTGAAAGCAAAACTGTACTGATGATGGGTTGGGGGTTGGGTTTTTAAGTAGCTTTTTGGCCTTGTTAGTTAATGCATTTGGGAAGTTGCTAAAAAAAATCATTTTTCGTGAGTGAAAAAGTTGATGTAACTGTTAACATTTGGAATTTTTAGCTGATGGCAAACGATTTTGGTGGCATTTGGCTTTTTTAGTATGTTTCACTGAGTTGTGAAATTGTGTCTTTGTTTTGAGCAATTTTGGAATGTAAAAAATGTTGTACAACTTCAGTTTTTGTTCACACCAAATTGAATGCTCACATTATATAGCAGTATAGATAATACTAGCCGTCATCCTTGCTTACAAGCTCTATAAACCACACTTATCATAGTTGTTGGCCTTTCTATCAATCTGTGATTATCACTTGTTTTGTTTTGTTTTGTTTCTTTCTTCTTCTTCTTCTTCTTCTTCTTCTTCTTCTTTTTGGGTTTAATGTTGCCAATCTTGTTGGGATATTTCTAGAAAATGTGAGCTTTTGCTTAAGAGACTTCAGTACAGTAGTTTGTTGGTTGCTGAGAAATATTGAAAAAAGGAAAAGAAAGTAAACCTTTGAATGTATTGTTTGAGAGAATAAGCCATAGTTTTGAATAGTTCATTATCATATTTGATCTTGTCTAGGAAGCACGGGTGCAGGCAGTGTTTTTAAAGGCGAAAGCGCAAGGCAAGGCATTTTAACCTTGTTGAGGCGAGGCGTAAGGCTCGAGGAGTAAGCTTTTTGAATTTTGATTTTTTTTATTTTTATAAAATACAAAATTAATTAAGGGTTGGTTTGGGATGTCCTAAAAAAGTGCACTTTTTGACTTATTGGTGGGTTTGGGTTGGGTTTAGGTTGGGTTTGATGTGATGTGTTAGAGAGGTGATGTGATTTAAATAAGATGATGTGACTTAAATAAGATAGTGACTTTTTGACTTTTTGACTTATTTAGTACATGCCAAACTAGCCCTAAATATAGTATAAAAAGAGTAAAAAAAAAAGAATTACCAAATAAAATTCTTAAAAGCCATTCTAATCATAAAACCAAAATTAATTAATAATTTCAAGTATTATAAGAGCTTTCTAAGTCATTCTCATTAATACTATAATAAAAAAATAACTTAAGTGATGGTCAAAATAAGTGAAACTCTAATTGTTCAATAAACAAAATAATTTAAACTCTAATACTCTATAAATAAAGAAATAAATAAATAATAGGTCACTCTAAGTCATCCTCATTAATATTGTCATCATCTTCATCTGTTATATCTATAATGGGATAGGTTCCATCATCTATTCCACCAAGTTCTTCCAACTCCGTATCTTCATCCACAAGGGTGCATCTTGCTGCCTTGCCTTTTCCTCTATCATTTCCTATACAAGAAATAGGATTTCAAGTTAATTAAATAGGCACATATAATAATATATATGCAACTACTCCATAATTGTTTAACAACTTACTTGAACCTTCACCAACTTTTCTTTTCTTTGCATTCAAAGATGAGTCAACATTAATCGTAGTCGGAGTTGATCGATTCTCCACACTTCTATCATAGGTAGGGATAGGCACAGTCCTAATTGCTTCAACATCGAACAATTCTTCTTCATCAAGCCAAGAAGCATCAAGGGGGAGGACAGGATCTTCTTTTTCAGCAATCCATTCATCATCCGAATCAATTTCATCAATTAGTATGGGATTGATATTTTGTCTTCTTCTAATACTCCTCTCTCTTAGTTTAAAGCATTCAAATGCTTGTACTCAAGCCTATTCCTCTTTTTTATATGAATCTAATATAATAATATAAGAAACGAAATATAACAAGTTGGAAACATGTATATTTTATTTTATGCATAAGAAAGTTTAGGAAAGAAAGATATATTACTGACTCAAAAGTGCTCCAATTTCTCTCACATCCCGAAGCACTACAAGTTAGACTAAGTATTCGAATAGCAAATTTTGTTAACTCTGGTGTTTTGCTCCCAAAACAAATCCACCAATCAGCTACATAATTTGAAAAATGCACAAATACATTAATCGTAGTCGTAGTTGATCGATTCTCCACACTTCTATCATAGGTAGGGATAGGCACAGCCCTAATTGCTTCAACATCGAACAATTCTTCTTCATCAAGTCAAGAAGCATCAAGGGGGAGGACATGATCTTCTTTTTCAGCAATCCATTCATCATCCGAATCAATTTCATCAATTAGTATGGAATTGATGTTTTGTCTTCTTCTAATACTCCTCTCTCTTAGTTTAAAGCATTCAAATGCTTGTACTCAAGCCTATTCCTCTTTTTTATATGAATCTAATATAATAATATAAGAAACGAAATATAACAAGTTGGAAACATGTATATTTTATTTTATGCATAAGAAAGTTTAGGAAAGAAAGATATATTACTGACTCAAAAGTGCTCCAATTTCTCTCACATCCCGAAGCACTACAAGTTAGACTAAGTATTCGAATAGCAAATTTTGTTAACTCTGGTGTTTTGCTCCCAAAACGAATCCACCAATTAGCTACATAATTTGAAAAATGCACAAATGATTTCAATCTCGTATTTTAATTTTAAAGAATGTCATTGGAAAATTATTTTCATATTAGTTTCTTACCGGGAGAGCGTATCGCTCTAGAATCAATTGCAACACGACTTCCAAATTCCCCTTTTGCTTGATCATAATAGTCCAATTGGATATTAGCCTTGAGACACTCATCATAACTCAACATTCTATCCATGCACTGATACTATCCTTGCCTCACCTCCTCAACATTGGAGAAGATATCTCGATAGCGCAACTGAGGGTTTAGATAATAACAGCAGCATGTAAAGGTCTATGAAGTTGTGGTGTCCACCTTGCATTTATCTTATTCTAAATTGGTCCGTACTTCCTAACATTTCCTCCATAATTGAAAGCAATATTTTCTTTAGCCGAATCCATCAACTCATAAATGTAACCTATAGCAAGCCTCTCCTCTGAATCAACTTCTCGCAAAGCACTAACCGAAGATATTGTGCTTTTGATACAAAAAGTAACATTAGGCCAACATTTTGGATCAAACAACACAGTTGCACGAGCCTTTACCCCTTCAACCTTTCTTGCCAAACTACTAGAAGCCCACTTTTTTAAAGAAAACATAGCTTGGAGTGGTTGCTTTTGTTTGTAAAGACTTTGGAGAGTAAGATAAGCAGTGGCAAACTGTGTTACTGTTGGACGGAGTAGTTCACTGTTTTTTGTAAATGATCTCATCATTGAAAGAACCCAACACTGTCTATATATAAACTTGACCACTTGCCTAGCTAACGAGAAAGTTTGGTCGTAGACTTTCAATTTCCCAATGTCCTCCAACATTAAATCAATACAATTTGCAGCACATGGAGTCCAATACAACTTCTTCCTCTTCTCCGTATGTCTCGACCCGGCATTGACATAGTTTGAAGCATTACCAGTAATAACCTGAACAACATTATCTTCCCCAATTTCATCTACGACACTATCAAAATAGTTAAACATCAACACCCATTTTTTATAGTATCAGATTCATCAATTGATTTTAAAAACCAAGTTCTAACAGGGCTATTCCCAAGAAAATTAATAATAACTCTACATTTCCCATCTGTCCAGCCATCAAACTTAATTAAACATCCATATTGTTGCCATGCTTTCTTATATTCCTCCATCATGACATTTATATCTTCTACTTCTACTTTAAGAATCCAAGTCCTCAATTTATGCATAGAAGGGGGTTTGAAACCAGGTCCATAATTTGCAATTCCATTAACTGCAGCTACCCAATATGGATCATTCACTAAATTAAATGGAAGAGCTTTACAATATATGAAACGCTCAATCTTTCGGCACACATCTTTTCTTTCTTCTGGTTTCTATTTGGAGTTAAGTGTAGATTGTCGTGCTTGAGAAGTAGCAAATTTATCCATTGGACCCCTCAGTTTTGGTGGTTGTGTCATACCACAAGTATCACCTTCAATAGATTCACTCTTGCCTTTTGCTCCAGCACCCATCCCAATTTCATATAATATCTCATTACGGGTACTTTTTTGCTCAAAATTTTTTTTTATTACGTGTTGGCATCCCAACTTTACATCTTCAGGAACTTTTGAACACGGTTTAATGCCTTTATACGTGCCGGCTAGATGATTTTTAAATTGACTTACAGTACTACTACAAGTTTGATCACAAAATTTACATCTAAAATACTTTTTCCCATCAACTTCTTTTACATACTTCTAGACAAAATCTTTTCTTTGGCCTATGGGTTCAGTCGTTGTTTTTTTTTCCCGCAAACTTATCAACAATAGCACTGTATAAAAATAAACAAATAAAAAAATAAAAACAAAAAAGATACTGGTTAGGTGGGATGGCAAAAAAAAGAATAGAATATTAACAATAATAATAATAAATTAAAGTCTATCATAATAATAGTAATAATAATAATAATAATAATAAATGAAAGATGGAGAAACTAAGTTATAATAATAATAATTATATATTTTTCTACAATGTAGATAAGTACAACAGAGTTGTTTGTACAGGAAACAGAGAGATAGATATATTATATTATATATACATCACAGTGGGATAGATATATTATATATACATCATAGTCGGAGTCAAAGAACCAACGCGATAAGAGAGAGATAGAGAAGTGATGCAGAAAACAGAACGAGAGAGAGAGACGATGCAGAAAACAGGAAGAGAGAGAGAGACTCAACTTGAGTACCTTGAAAACCCTAGTTCGTTGAAGAAGATTAGAAGACTGATTCGAAGTTGTTGGGACTCTGATTTGAAGAAGATCAACTTACATAGTATTTATATCTTCTTCTTGAGCAATTTCTGTTTCAATCGAAGTCGTTTATAGCAATTTTCCATCAACGACTCTATCATTTCCCTTTTTTTATTTTTGAAATCGAACTCCTCAAAGGATTGCGCCTCGCTGTCAAAAGCGTGAAAAGCGCATAAAGCGCGACAGATGCTTACGCCGCTGCTTGTGACACGTACGCATAGATGGTGTCTTGCCCAAAAAAGAACGCATCTGTGCGTTTTCTATACGCCTCGCCTCAAGTCGCGCCTCGTACACGCCTCGCCTCAAGTCGCGCCTCGTACACGCCTTTGAAAACCTTGGGTGCAGGTATGCCGATATGGAAAAACTAAAAAAAGTAGGGTAGAGGTGTGGTTCGGTACATTTATAAAAAATATACTATAATTTGCACTAGTACATGACATATAATAATTAAAAAATCAAATGTAAAAAATAATTAAAATATTTTTGTAACAGCCAAAAAAAAAAATTCTAAGTATTTTTTATATTTTTGATAATAATAAAAATACTCTATATTTTAAAGTTTTTAACAATAAGCATGTCAGATACGTATTTTGCATACATGGTTCGTGTGCAGCTGTACTAGTACACATACCCATACCGCCAGATAAGTACCCGGTACTCGTACAATAACATTTTGGAGTACCCGTGCTTCATAGGATCTTGTCTTAATTGTTGTTGTTGTTGTTGTTGTTTGGGTTTTTGGGAGTGGGTTTGGGGGGCGGGTTTAGTATTTGGGCCCAAATTTGTTTGTTTTGTCGATTGCTTTGTTCTTTGCTGAAAGATGTTGAACTTTTAGGACTGCAACCATGCTGTTTCTGGTTTTTGAGCTTATGAAAGGGGGAAAAAAAAAAAAAGTTTTGAATGTTTACCTTTGATAGATTAATAAACATGTCCTTACAGCCTGAACACTAGTGTTTTCAGTTCATTTAATTATATTTCTTTGTTTGGTTGTTGTTCAGTTTTTGGTTTGATGTTAAATAGTTCTGCCTTTTGGGCTTACTGGAAAACAGTTTTCTTGGTTCTTTGGGAGGATTTCAGGGTGCTGTTGTTGTGACAACCAGCATACCATATCTATACGGCGAGGAACATGAGGAAAAGGATAAAATTCAATGTGGATTTTTAAAAGATAAAAAAATAAAAAATTGATTTGCGTTTTGTCTTTTGATGTAGAGTAGGCAATTTAGCTTTAGTACTTATTTATCTTTATTTTATGGCATGAACCTAGACAGATTATTCTAGTTGTTTGATCTTAGTGTTTTATGCTTTGTCTTTGTGGTTTATCATGAAATATTTATTTGAGGGGATCCTTTTCTTGGTTTCTTGTTGAGAAATGTAAGGTTGTCCATAAGACTGCAATGATGGTGTGATAAGTTTTATACCTCTCTCTAAAAGAAATATTTTGTTTCAAATGCAATATAAATACTTTTAGTATGCTATCAATGCCCAATGTTTTTTTGTTGTTCCAATGTGTGGATACATGAGAAACTCATCGAAAACAAGCTTAAGGTTTGATGTGCTAATTTCTTTGCTTATCCTTAATTTTAAGCTATCCCTTCAATTTATTGTTTGGTTTGTAACGTATAAGCATTTTTATTAAGGTAAATGAGTTTTTTGATTGACTTTGTTCAAGGGCCTAGCTTTTCCTAAATTTAAATATATACATTCACTTTAGACCATGATAATGCAAAATATCTTCCTGTGTATATTGCTTTGATTTAAATTTAAATTACCTGCAATTGACTGCTACAAACTTTGTCTTAAAGGGGAGGAGTTTTGATTGTTTTCTTGTTTTAGTTTTCATATATAGAAAAACTTAAAGAAACCGGACTAATAACATTTCATGGAGCACATCCCCATGGTTCCTCAGTCAGTTGATTTATCAGAAAAAATATGAGATTCAAAATTACATTTATTTTCTTCCCACATTCTTTTGTCCACAAATATTTTACTTTTCCATATTGCATTGAGAAAGAAAGTTGGCGGTTTTAAAGTATTAGCTTGCTATATTATTTCTTTTCCTTTCTCCTATTTTTTTGCTGCTATGCACTAAAGGATGTCAGTTGACTCTTCTGACATTTTATTTGTCTTATTAAGTTCTGGTCTATGTCACTATGCAGTCAACTTTTTGTACATGAGAAAACTAAAATTAAGTTGTACTTCTTGTAGACTGAGTGGACCAGAGAAGAAGATGAGAAATTGCTTCATCTTGCTAAGCTTATGCCTACACAATGGAGGACAATTGCCCCGATCGTGGGTCGTACTCCATCTCAATGCCTTGAGCGTTATGAGAAACTCCTTGATGCAGCCTGTGCTAAGGATGATAACTATGAAGCGGGTGATGATCCACGGAAATTGCGTCCTGGAGAGATTGATCCCAACCCAGAATCAAAGCCTGCACGTCCAGATCCTGTTGATATGGATGAGGATGAGAAGGAAATGCTTTCAGAAGCACGAGCTCGGTTAGCCAACACCAGGGGCAAGAAAGCAAAAAGGAAAGCCAGGGAGAAGCAGCTTGAAGAGGCTAGGAGGCTTGCTTCTTTGCAGAAAAGGAGAGAACTGAAGGCAGCTGGAATTCAAACCAGGCAAAGGAAGAGGAAGAGGAAGGGGATTGACTATAATGCTGAAATCCCTTTTGAGAAGAAGCCTCCTCCAGGCTTTTTTGATGTCACTGATGAAGATCAAACAGTGGAACAGCCTAAGTTCCCTACTACCATTGAAGAACTTGAGGGTGAAAAAAGAACTGATAAGGAAGCACGATTGAGAAAGCAGGATATTGCAAGGAATAAAATTGCACAGAGGCAGGATGCCCCATCAGCAATACTGCAAGCGAACAAACTTAATGATCCAGAAACAGTTCGGAAGAGGTCAAAACTGATGCTTCCTTCACCACAGATTTCGGACCATGAATTGGAGGAAATTGCAAAGATGGGTTATGCTAGTGATCTACTTGCAGGGAGTGACGAACTCACAGAAGGGAGTGGTGCAACACGTGCCCTTCTTGCAAATTATTCCCAGACACCACGGCAAGGAATGACCCCGCTGCGAACTCCTCAGAGAACACCTGCAGGTAAGGGTGATGCTATTATGATGGAAGCAGAAAACCTGGCCAGGATGAGAGAATCCCAGACACCATTACTAGGAGGAGAAAATCCAGAATTGCATCCTTCAGATTTTTCTGGGGTCACTCCTAAGAAAAAGGAGATCCAAACACCAAACCCGATGTTGACTCCTTCAGCAACTCCTGGAGGTGCTGCAGGCATGACACCAAAACTTGGCATGACCCCAAGACTTGGCATGACCCCATCAAGGGATGGCTATTCTTTTAGTATGACTCCAAAAGGAACTCCTGTAAGGGATGAGCTTCACATTAATGAGGAAATGGAAATGCATGATAGTGCTAAACTTGAGCTCCGAAGGCAAGCTGATTTGAGAAGGAACTTGCGCTCTGGTTTGAGCAACCTTCCTCAGCCCAAGAACGAGTACCAGGTAGTTATCCAACCAGTCCCTGAAGATAATGAAGAACCAGAGGAGAAGATTGAGGAAGACATGTCTGACAGGATAGCTAGAGAAAGAGCTGAGGAAGAAGCGAGGCTACAAGCATTACTTAAGAAGAGATCAAAAGTGCTGCAGAGGGAGCTCCCTAGACCTCCTGCCGCGTCACTGGAACTTATTAAAGATTCTTTGATAAGAGCTGATGAAGACAAAAGCTCCTTTGTTCCTCCCACTTTGATTGAGCAGGCTGATGAAATGATAAGGAAAGAGCTTGTATCCCTACTAGACCATGATAATGCAAAATATCCACTCAAAGAAAAAATGGAGAAGCAGAAAAAGAAAGCAAATGGAAAATCTGGTTTTGTCCCTGAGATTGAAGACTTTGAAGAAGATGAGCTGAAGGAGGTATGCTTTTGCTACATCTCTGTTCCATTAATGCCATTACTTGTTCTTTACTGTCATGAAATCTTCGTTTCTGCATTTTCTTATGTTGGTTTAATATCTAAGCAGCTTTGTTCAGTCCATGGTACTAAATTTATATTGCAAATTTTGCTTTCTGATCAGAGTTGGGCATATTTGTGATATATCCATAAAACTTCACAATAAGTTATTATTTTAACTTCACGAAGTGTTTCAAATTATAAAAAATTAGTGATGCTACTCGCATGATGCCACAATTTCATTATCTGAATTATGAAATTTCATATAAATAATCTAATTTCCTTATTGTGAAAGTTCATTCAGTTCTGAAAATGCCAGCTAGTTTAGCTGGTAAATGATGCTGGTGATATCACATGATTGGATTTGAATCTCCTAAAGAGTTTGACTACGGTCTTCACCCCTTTGCTTGCCACTTTCAAAGGAATTTTTTCAGTTATAGAAATTATCAGCAGTGTATTAAAATCAATATTTAGATGCAAGGTTCTGCATGCCGTCACAAATTCACGTGGGCAATTGGTTGTTGCCTTACGTTATCTGTGGATGTTGAGTTTCATCATGATATGCCATTTTGTTTAATTCTTGTTACTCTTTGGATCTCTATCCTTTGTAGCTGACAAGTTCTTGATTCTTTAGTCATTTTCATGTTGGTGATTCTTTTACCGGATGGGATGTAAGTTATTTAGGAAGAAGTAAGATGACTATGAAGCAATTAAAATAGTATTTTCTTTGTTACTTTCTACATATATTTCACACCTTTTCCATCTTATTTGAAGTTTCTTTAAAAATTCCATGTTACAATTTTCAAATACATGGACAGTTCATTTGTATCCTTGTGTCCTGAGTTTTTGAGATGAGATGGGTTGACATGGAAATGTACACGTGCAACCGATATTCCTACTACTTGTGTCTATGTCACATAGTCCTCAAGTATTATTCTACAACTGTGTAGGATACGATAAGTTTGGAACATTGAAGCAAGAATAAAATTTGGCAATTCCTTCTCTCTTCAGGAGATTTAAGAATCTGTAGGCTATTGGATTTAGGTGTCTGCAGTTTGAATTCCAGGTTTTGTGCATTAAGAAAACTATTTAAAGTGGAATCCCATAATTTATGAAATCCTGCAACAGAAATCTTTACCTAGAGGATATCTGCATACTCTCCTGAATTTTTGATGGTTAGTCATCACTGGATTAATCACCTGGGAAGAGAGAGCATGGTGGCTATTGATGGCAGAAATTCAATTACTTTTGATATCTTGGGATTAAAATAAACCTCAGCAGGGGTAGTAATTAAAAAGAGAGAGAGAGAGAGAGAGAGAGAGAGAGAGAGATAGGATGGGGTGTAGCTCTTGGGATTATTGTCAAATTGCAATTCGATCGCGAAGTCACTTTATTTAGCATAATATGTAATTTGATATGTATATACATGTAAAAAATTGTATATATGTATATACATATAAAATCATGTATATCAATATAATTAGGGGTGAGCATGGTCCGGATTGGGGTAAAATTAGGATCAATCTATTATATGTACGGTTCCTAAAAAATTGGAGTCAATCCAATTCGTTTAAATCGTGAAACGAATCCGAACCAATCAATTTAAATACGGATTGGATCGGTTTAAGATCACGGATTCACATAACTAAATAACAAAAAAATAAAATAAAATTATAAAACATTTTAATTTTATAAATATATAAACATAGCATCATATTAGTTTCAGAATAACATGTGTTTCCATAATAACGACATACTGTTTTAGAATTTAAATAACCATAAGAAAACTGGTTCCACCATAAGTATTTAGATCATTACAAATTAAAATTAAAAACCAACAAACAAAAGTAATAAAAGAAGATACTACGTGAATTTAGGTTTGGGTTTAGGTTTTGTATGGAATAAGAGAAGATACTATGCAAGAGGGTGTATAATATAAATATAGGCTATTTGTATAGGTCCAGATCAGTTCCAATCTGGAACCATGAGGTTCAATCCGGAACCGATCCGTGGACTACGGTTTTTTAATTTTTCAATCCGGAACCGAACCACGGATTTAAAAAATCAATCCAAACCTACCGGATTGGATTAGACCGGATCGAATTACGGATTTCACAGATTCCTTACTTTGCCATAAATATAATTAGTTGATTTTTTTATATTTAGATATTGTGAAAATGACGTCGTTTCATGCATTATGCAAACATAACCGAATCACTTGAATCGCGTATCATAGTGGATAGCAATTTTTGGATCAACCAATCTTGTAACCCAATTATATAACACCATAAGCAACCGTCTCTCCAACTAAGGAACTGAATGAGACACCCCTTGGAAAACCCACCTATTGCGCTCCAACCAAAGAAGCCACATTAAACAATGAGAAGCTATCATCCATGCTTTCTGACGCCTCCGCCTAACCCTATCCCCAGCCTGACTTTGTAAAACCACCAACATAGTGCATTGCTATACCCATTCCAAGCCAAAAGTCGCAACAAGAAGCATCCACTGCCTAGAAGCAACTGGGTAGTGAATAAGCAAATAATCTACCGACTCGGCATCGCCATGACATAAACAACACCAATTTACTATAATATGTCCACGCCGCCTTAAATTATCAATGGTTAGAATATGGCCTAAAGTCGCCGTCCAGACAAAAGAAAGCTACCTTGGAAGGCGTGCCAGAGACCTACACACATTTCCAAGGGAAGAGATCCGTATCAACATGAACAAGCGCACCATAGAATGAAGACACAGAAAATAGCCCTTTGGAACTTGGGCAAGTCCAAACCATCGAATCCTTCGCTACGCCCCTATCGCGCAACCCATATAACAGCTCCACTAACTGATCCTTCGCCCAATCTTGAACAGAACGGTACAACCGTACATTCCAAACAATCTCCTGTACCTGGCCAATCCGAACATCCCCCACCATGACCTCACAATCCTCTGCAATCCCAAAAATCAACGGGAACAGTTGGTCTAATGGAATGTCACCACACCGCCTGTCACACCAAAAAGTGCACTCTATCCCCCACTCCGATCTTCAACCGAACCCGCCACTAAAACTGCTCACAACCCAACCAAATACCTTTCCAAACACCCCGACCATGAGTCAGTCCCACCATTCCTGAACACCACCCTCCTCTACCCAATCCATACTTGCCACGACCACCTTCCTCCATAAATGCTCCCTCTCTCTCACAAAACGCCACAACCACTTACCCAACAAAGCCAAGTTAAATAAGACCAACCGCCTAATCTCCAAACACCCTATCTCCTTTAGAACACACACCCGATCCCAAACCACCAAATGGGAATAAGAAACCACCCCCTCATTACTCCATAAAAAGTCTCACTGCAGCTTTTCAATCCTCTTTGCCATTGCCACCGGAATCACATGAATAGACATAAAATAAGTCAATTAAGGTAAGCCGCCCTTCTTTTGACAAGTATTGTCGCTTCCATCCCGTTAACTTCTGTTGCACCCGTTCTACCACTCCATCTCATACCCCTCGTGCCTTGAAAGAAGCTCCCAATGGAAGACCAAGATATGACACTGGCAGTGAAACCACTTTACACTCCAGAATTGCTGCCAAAACTGGCAACCGTGTCACCTTCCTAACCAGGATCAATGCAAACATTGAAAGATTAACCCGCAATCCTAACACAGCCTCAAAACACAGCAAATACACATCGAAAATGTCCAATCTGGTCTACATCCGCATCACAAAATATAAGAGCATCATCTGCATAGAAAATATGTGAAACCAGTAATGACGAAGGGCCCGAACCCACCTTAAAGCCCTGCAACGAACCTCCATGTGCCGTCTTGGACAACAAACGTCTCAAAGCCTCCATAACCAGAATGAACAACAGCAGGGATAAAGGATCACCATGCCGCAAACCTCGATAAGTAGGAAAGAATCCTGTTGGAGAACCATTGACTAAAACAGACATCTGCACAGTCGAAATACAATAATGAATCCACCGTCTCCAAGTAACCCCAAAACCCATTGTATCCAACACATAAAAGCAAGAAACCCCAGTTAACATTGTCACATGCCTTCTCAATATCTAATTTGCAAATGACCCCCGCCTTCTCTTGCCTCAGCCTCAAATCCATACACTCGTTGGCTACCAAGACCAAATCCAAGATATGCCTGCCACCTACAAAAGCATTCTGAGACTCTGAAATCACCCGTCTAACACCCCTCGAAGTCGATTTGCCAGTACCTTCATCAACAACTTATACATACTCCCCAAAAGACTTATAGGTCGAAAGTTTCGAATATCCTCTGCCCCACCCTTCTTTGGGATCAATGCTATAAAAGTGGCATTCAAACTCTTCTCTAATTGTCCCGTCTGATGCAATTGCTCAAAAATAGCCATAATATCCTCTTTGACCACACCCTAACAATGCTGGAAAAAAGATATGGAGAAATTGTCTGGACTATGCGCCTTATCTCTAGGCATACTCTGCAACGCTGCAAACACCTTTTCTTCTGTGAATGCCCTCTCCAGCACAGTGCAATCCACCTCAGAGATGGCGTCAAACACAACTCCATCCAACCGCGGCCTCCAAACTTCCCTATCCAATCGAAAGAGATGCTCATAGATGCCCATTATAGCCCCTCTGATCTCCTCTTACGATGAAAACTCCACCTTATTTACCCGTATCTTCCTCACATGATTCACCCGTCGATGCGCATTAGCCATACGGTGAAAGAATCTCGTGTTTCAATCTCCATCCCTCAGCCACAAGCATCTAGACTTTTGGCGATAGCTGATCTCCTCTATACGAGCCACCTACCCAAAGTCCTTGCAAGCCACAACCTGACGAGCCATATCCTCTCCTGACAAGAAACCCACTTGTACTTTCGCATCCAGTCCCTGTATAACTGCTAAGGCGTTTGCTTTCTGTGTCTCCAGCCACCCAAACACCTCCCTGTTCCACTGTTTCAA